AAGTCAGTTTAGCTGAAATGCACAAATTTCTTAAAAAACACAGACTTACCAAGAAGAAATAGATATGATTAAAAGTCATAAATGGCATTCTGTCTTCTAAATAAATTATATTTATAGTTAAAATCCTAAGGAGAAGACTCCTTTCCTACAGGACTTTAGTTAGTTCTACCAAATACTTTATGAATAGTGTCAATTCTATGCAGGTTTTTCCAGAAAATTGAAGATGAAAGAATGTTTCCCTGTTTATTCTTTGAAGCTAACATTAACCTGATACCACAAGCAAATAAAGATGCTATAAGAAAATATGGACCAATTTCCTTAATAAACATATATGCAGTACTTTTTTATATGCAGAAAGTCTTCAACTAATTTTAACAAATCCAAGAATAGATACAGAGAATTGTGTATTATTACCAACTAGAGTTTATTCAAGGAATGTAACATTGATTTAGCATTTAAAAATAAATCATAATAATTCACCATATTAACAGATTAAGAAAAAAATGAGTATCTCAATAGACGTAGGAAAAAAAGTCAAGAAAATCCAGTATCCACTTATGATTTTATTAATACTTCCAGTAAATTGGCAGTAGGAAAATTAGTCAACCTGAGTAAAATGCATCTAGGAAAAACTTACAGCTGATGCCTTAATGGAGACAAACTTAATGGAGAAAGAAAGGTACTGTCACAAGGCAAATATATTCACTGGGTTGTTCAACCTTATACTAAAAGGTTTAGCCCTATAGTAAAACAATAATAAGAAAATGTTTACAGGTTGTAAAGGAGTATCTGTTTCATTATTCATAAAATGAGTACCTAAAAAATCAAATAGAAGCTACTAAAGTTTAATCCATTTGTTGCTTGATACAAGATATACAGAAGACTACAGAATACAAGGACAGTTTTAACAAGCTGTAATAGAAATTAATAAAAATGCCATTTTCAATAGCAAGAAAAATAGGAAATACCTGCATGTCTGCCAGAAGACATGAAAGACCTTCACAGTGAAAACTGAAAAAATATATTGCTGAGAAAAATTATCAATGATGTGAATAAATGGAGAGATATATGCATGGATTAGAAGACTGGATACTTTTAAAATTTTCATTTCTAAATTGAAATAAACACAGTGTTTATTAATATGAATTCAACACAGTCCCAAAAGGCTGAATTGTAGAAATTGACAAAAAATTCATAAGGAAATTCTAGAATAAATAATACAACTTAGAAAATAATAAAGTTGGAGGACCTACGCTGAGTTTAGGGCCTGCTGTATTAAGCCGCAGCACAGCCCTGTATGGTCAGTGGGCTTTCAGCACAAGGACAGTGACATTTTAGTTCACTGCACAGTGCTAAAGTCGACATCCAAATGGCTTTTCCTCACCATATGCTAACTGCAAATAGATCATAGTCTTAAAATGGAAAGGCCTTGACAGGAAACCACTGGAGAAAAGCTTTGTGGTATTGGGTATAAAAACATTTCTTAGTAAGGGCAAAAACAGAGCCACAAGAAGAAAATCTGATAAAGTAGACTTCATCAAAATGAAGAATGTGCCTTCTTCAAAGGCACTATAAAGAGAATGAAAAATCACAAACTGGAAGAGTATGTACAGATCCCAAACCTGACAAAGGATATGCATGTGTAAGTAACCCCCCAAAAAAAGAAAAAGAAGAAAGTTTGTAAAGATCATGACATGAAGAAAAAATGGTTAAAAGTTGAACAGACATTTTGCCAAAGAAGAAATAAACTTGTAGCTGGGTGTGGTGGTGCATACCTGTAATCCCAGCACTTGGGAGGCTGAGACAGGAGGATTGTTGTGAGTTTGAGGCCAGCCTGGGCTACAAAGTGAGCTCAAGGCCAGCCTGAAGTGCATAGCAAGACCCTGTTTCAAAAAGACAAATAAATAAATTTTAAAAAAGCACTTGTGAAAACATTCAGCATCATTATTCACAAGGGAAATGAGAATTTAAAGCTACTGTGCATTTAAAGCTAATGTGAATTTAAAGCGCCACCATGGTGGCATGTTTCATATCAAAGGCCAGACTGAATGAGTGTCACTGACACCATGAAGCAAGCAGGGGAAGGCCTCGCGTGCACGGTTGGCCTACGGTAAGATGGTGCGGCCACTTTAAAACAGTTGAGTGGCTTCTTGAAAGCCATACATATACCTTCCATAGGAGCCAGCCATTTCACTCTTGGCTGTTTATTCAAAAGAAATTAATTCTGAGTTTAAATAAGACTTGTATATGAAGGTTTATAGAAGCTTAGTTTGTAATCACTCCGAACTGGGCAACTCAGATCAGCTGTCTCTTGCATGGTAAGTTGTACTACGTATTACTTACAGTGGGACCCAGTAAGATGGATGAACTCCTAATGCATGCAGTGATGTGGAGGAATATCACAAATAATTATGCAGAATGAAAGAAGCCAAAGAGTACATACTGTATGATCCCATTTATGTAACGTTCTCACAGTTAAAATTCTAGAATCCTAAAATTCAGTAAACAAATCTATCACGATAGAAAACATGCCTGTCATTGTCTGTGGGAGCATGGGGAAGAGGACAGAATTACACTGGTTGTGCTGGGCACGCGGCTCAGTGCTAGAGCACTTGCCAAGCATTTACCTGGCCGTGGGTTCTGTCCCCAGCACTAGTAGAAGAAAAAGGAAAAAACAAAACAAAACAGAGAGAGAGAGAGTGTGAAAACTACAGCGTGAAGGGCTAGAAAGCGCCATGGAAGGTAAGCATTAGAGATACGTCATCTGGAAAGTCATTGGTACTGACGTGGCATTTGAACAGAGACTTTTAAACTGCCCTGTAGTATTTTGAAAACTGTTTTTAAGATTTTTTTAAAGTTATACGTGACGGTTATCTTTTTTTTATTTTAAACAGAATTTTAAAAAAAGAATAGCAAAATGCCAACAACAGACAAAAACAAAACAAAGCAAAAACAATAAGAATGATACAGGTTTCAGAACAAAACGATAGGGATTAACAGTGGTTGTTATATTGCATATTTTTATCTTCATTGAAGTTGCTCAGATTACCAGGACTGTTCTCACTGACATCTGAAAGAACAAAAGCTTTCCCCCAACTTAAGGACAGAGTTAGATTTTTGACTTCAGAAGGAAGCAGATGGGAAGGGCAGGGCTGGTGAGCAAAATCTGCTCCCACTGCCCATGAGAGGATGTACTGAGGCCACCTCTGACCAGAAGGGTGGCGGTGTCGCTGGGGAAGGTGAGTCAGAGGAATCGACGTCTTACAACCAGAACCCCAGTGTGCCAGTTTTCATGCCCGGTAGGGGCAGTTATCTCACGGTTTTCTAAGCAAACCCAAAACTTCTTGAGGTGTGTATCATCTCTGATGTCCAGTGTGTGTGCATCGTGTGATCTGGGGAAAGAACACACCTGTTCTGAGTGGAGAGGGAAGTTTTCCACCCTTAGAGTGGCCGGCTTGCCACATCTCTCAGCCTGACAGAGCAGCCACAGGAAACCAAGCAGGCCTCCCCTCACCACTGGCAGGGGAACGTGTCCCGGGCGAGGAGCACTGCAGTGCTGCCTAGCAGCCAGGGTACTGACTATAAAACGGGCTGGATTTGGTTCCGTCCCCAAGAGAGGGCCTGCTCGTGCTGGAGACCAGGATAACTGTGTACCGGGGAAGCAAAGAATGGCAAGAAGCAGATTCAAAATGCCTTGTGATATGTGCCATACACTGAAGTGTGCTTCTCCATTTTGAAAATGTACTTTTAAGAGGTCACCCCCCCACCTGTTTAAAATGTAATCTGTCTAGAAAATACTTCCTGTTGCATATATTTACATTTTATTAGGCATCTTAAGTAATCTAGAGGTGATTTAAAGAATTCTGCGAAATGTGTATAGGTTAAATTCAAATACTATACTACTTTCTTTGTCCAGAGAATAATTTCAATGTGTTTTGTCTGCTGTACCATAAATTTGGCAATAGAGTGGGGAAATGCATTCATCCAAAGCCAACTATGAATTTGTTTCTATGAAATGTGCTAATTTCTGTATGCCGTTCTCCTGTTGCTGTGACGGTTGTATTCTGTTCTGAGCGAGACTCAGCAGGGCAGGCGTTCCTACTGCAGATCTTAGCCTGGGCACCCCGTGCTCCCAGGAAGCCTGCGGGCGCCTTCAGCCCCTTGTGGCCCGGGTCCCCTTCCCCACCAGCTCCTTCCTTCCTGCACCCACCGCAGGACCCCTGAGGGAGTGCAGCCCTGTCCCTCCTGCAGAAGGTGCTCTGAATCTCTTTTCGGTTAGGGACATCTTTGGGGACCTAGGAGAAGTTGGAAAAGGCTCTGCAGCTGACTCCAGAGACTGCTGTGAGTCTGTTCCCAGGCAGGACGGCGCGAATGCCAGTCTCAGTTAAGCAGAGATCTTTGTGAAGTGCGGAAAGCAGCCTTCTACCTGTGACCTAGGGAGTCATATATCATATAATACCAGCTCCTTGGGAGGCTGTGGCAGGAAGATGAGACCCTGTCAATAAAAATAAAAAGGGGTGAGGGATGTAGTCCATTGGCAGACAGAGTCTTGTGTTTACTCTTCAGCCATGAAGGAGGGGAAACCCTTGCATTTGTAATATTAGCCGCCTTCTGCGGAGCAGCGGGAAGAGAGGACAGGGACGGCAGCAAGGTGGTGCTTTCGCTGCGCTAGGAAGAGCCATGTTTTATCACAGTTACTGACACCTGTGTGCAGCTGCGTGTCCTTTGTTACATGAAGAGATTAGGACAGAGTTTCCAGTGTTCTTCTCCTGCCCGGTTACATGGCTCTGCAGTGTTCTATTTCCCACTGACAGCTCAGATTTTATACAGCACAACCAGGACCACGCTGTGGTGTCCTTAGACTGTTGACAGGAAGCCAGACGTCGTGTCTGCTTCACACAGTGACTCCGCCTTTGGTGTTTTCATTCCCCAGTGTTAACCTAGAAATGCATTTCCCTGCGTTGGAATCAGTTAACAGCTCTTTTCCTTTCTTCGTACAGCTTGTGCCTCCTTTTAAGCCTCAGGTAACATCTGAGACAGATACCAGATATTTTGATGAAGAATTCACAGCTCAGACTATTACAATAACACCACCTGAAAAATGTAAGTAGATGGTAACTGAAAACGTTCTAAAATAATTGAAGAAAACAGTCTGTGTACAAATGGTTCTGTCTTTTCAAGGTCATATTCCATAGTGACTTGTATTCTGTTCCGTCTAAAATTGTAGAGCTCCCATTACGGGAATATCAAAAGGTGGGCACAAGAACAACTTTTCTGGACAGAATAAATGACATGTAAAAAGTTGTATACCCAGTTAGAGCCATTAGCCGTTCTTCACTGTCCTTCAGTAGACTACTTTGACATCAGCTAGAAAGTTCTGAAATGCAGTCTGGATCGCAGCCCGAGCTCACTCACGTGTCATCTTCAGAGTTGCGCAGGTTCTGGGCTTCTCCTTACTGAGTAGTTTTTAAATTCATTGTAAATAGAGATGCTCCTTTTAAGTTAGTCTTCTCTTAGGCAGTACAGTCTGATACATATAAATTAATAAAACCCTATTAAGATATATGTCCATGCACATTGCAGATTGTATACTAGGGTGTCAGCCCCGTGTTGTGAGAAGTGCTGTGAATTAGTGGACTTTATGAAAGAAGTTCTTTGTCATGGATTGGGAATGAGGCTATAGGATGGAGCTTTGGGTGACACTAAGATAGAATTCTTCAGGGTGCACGTGTGCGGCTCACACCATACGGTCATGCTTGTGTTTCTTTCCTTTCCCTTCGTTTCCTACGGTTCTTCTCTGCTTGCTGGTTGGTGGTGCTGACACAAAGTGGCCAGTGAGATAGTGAGATGTGTGGCCCCAGTCCACAGAGCTGAGTGTTGCCAGGCAGCCAGGAGTCTTCTGGACCACCAGTCCTCAACCTGGGGTCCGGGGCTCTGCAGCAAGGAGTCTGAGCAACACTGTGCCTGGTGCTTCTAGATAATTCTCTGTTTTTCGCTTTTTAGATTTGCAACAAGCTAAAAAGTTGTTAACATTCATTTTGAAAGTGCTGAAGTTGAAACCCGGAGAGCTGTGGAGATGCCAAGGTCCCGCAGTTAGTGTCAGCCACAGCTAGGAGCTGGGCACATCCGCGGGCGGTGCCGGGCTGAGTTGTGAGGCGTCAGTGTGCTGAAGTAGGGTAGCGTGCCATCACTAGAATTTCAGGGGCACTGAGAGCCAGGCTGTGAGGAAGCCTGTGGAGTCTGGCACAGGCGCAGGGCCGTCTGAGTAGGGATACTGGACACGGGCCCTGGCCTCTGCCGCAGCACGGATGCAGCAGTGTCGCTGTTCACAGTGCTGGGCAGCACCAGTGAGCGGCGTTGGGCAGCTCCCGCCATGGAGCATGTGCTGGGCTGGCATTTGGATGGAGCCCTAATTGTAATCAGACCGCCATTCCTCAGCGTCCAGCTTTGCAGTGGCCCCATCACAGGCGGCAGCAGATTCCCCTGGCTTGCGCAGCCGGGGCAGAGCAGGCCCTGTCCACCTCTCTGGCTGCTTCCTGTTCTAGTCTCCCCCGCTGCCCTCCACGGCAGCCACACCTCGATCCGCCCCGCCCCGCCCCACTTCACTGTGCCTGGAGACCATGGTTTTTCTTGTTCCCTCTACCTCTGGTGCTCTTTGTCGCAGACATTCCCAGGGACAGCTCCTCCTTGTTCTTCAGCTCTCGGCCTAAGAGCCCCTCCCTCAGAGAGCCGACTTCACCTCCAGGGAGGACAGTGCAGCCCAGCCACACCCTCTGTGCTCGTCCTTCCCCTCTCCTTGTGATCAGTTTTGGGGTTGGTTTTCTGTGTCTGCCACTAGGGCTCAGTGCCTCCCGTGTATTTTAACCCCTGCTGGCCCCGCGCCTGGCTCAGTGGAAGTATTTGGCGAACACTTCACAGAGCACTGCCAGAAATGGTGTGGGCCAGGAGGAGGCACTTGTGAAATATCTTTTAGGAGAGCTACCTGTGAATTTGGAAGTCATTGAAATAGGTAGACTCTAAATGAAAGGCAGTGAGTGGATTTTTTTACTTTAGAAGTGAAAAGCCAAATCCCAGTTTGGCAGAGAGAGAGGATGGACTCAGACCTGAGGAGGCTGCCTCTTGTCCCATCTCTGCCCCTCTCTAGCTCGGGGATGTGGCAGGTCGCTGTGTCCTATGGAGAAGGGAAGAGAAGGCCTAGATAGCTAGGAGCCCTCTGTTCGCCCTGTGGCGGGCTTGAGCAGCCATCTTTATAAGAAAGACACCTAGAACCCTCCAGGCATTTCGGTGTCATCCTTAAGCCAGAGTAAGCAGTCTGCACTGTCGTTTTCTGTGCTCTGTTACAGGAAAGGTCACAGTTGGTCAGGTGTAATACCCCAGGTGTGGGTGGAGGTGGCGGGGAAGTGAGGGGGACAGCTGCCTGGAAAGGTAGGGCAGAAAGAGCACAGCAGACCACCTGGAAAACCTGCTTGGTAACAAGTACATTAAAGTAGAAACCGTCACAGATGCCTCCATGGCTAGTCAGTGACTTCATGACTGGTTTGAACTCTAAAGCCCTGTCATGGATGGAATATCTGAACCATTTGTTTCAGCTGCCTTCCCCTGTGGTTGTCCTGGTGAGAATTTTCACTCCTGCGCAGAACTTGGAAAATGAGACCTGGTGTTTGAAGATGCTTTAAGTCCCTCACCACCGTTTCTAGAATATAGTTTGAACCTAGTTCTTCAGCTTTGCTAATTAACAATGAGGAAGCCATCTGTAGTGTTTTCCCTAATATGTCACCTTTTCTCACAAACAGCAGAGTGTGTCGTTCCAGGTGTGGGTTGTGGGGTAAGCCTCTGCACCTTGACAGGGTGGGAGGGCAGGTCCACTCTAGATGAGACTGGGTCCACCAGAGTCCAGACGTGGCACTGACTTCCCAGCGGGTATCAGACCTTGCTGTGGCCCGAGCCTATGGGATGCTGTTTTCCCCAGGCATCAGAAGTGGCTCCTGGGCTGATGGGGTGAGGAGAGTGTCTCCCGCCTGCCCGCCCAGTGCAGGCTCCTGTGCTCAGCTGCCCCGCAGCACTGTGGCTCAGGTCAGCTCGGCACAGCGTGTGGGACGCGGGCTATGCCGGGCCAAGGGTGGTGGGTTTTAGTTTATCATCCCTGGGTTAGCCGGGCTTCCCTCCTGGGGCACAGAAAGGAGAGTCGGGAGCTCTTCCCTGCAGTGCTGAGGGGTGGTGCGGTGCGGAGTGGCCCAGCAGCCCACACACCCAGGCTGTGTTCACAGATGCACGCAGCGGTGCTGCTCGCTGGCGGTTGTCTTCCCACTTGCCACCTTGCTTTTATAAAACAGAATGGAGTTATTTTTTAGAACAAATCAGCAGTTAAGAAAAGCAAAATGTTCCATTTTCTACAAACAGCTGCAGTAATATGCCAGATTGTCCTCACTAGTGTTAATTAATTGAACAGATTTTGGAATGTGTTCTCTTTTGTTATATCCATTAATGGTCCTCTGCCTTCTTCTTAGAGAAAGAATTTCTTTGAGATCTGGGAGCTTTTACTGCCATGTAATTACATTTGTTCACTGCTCTAAGAAAACTGGGCACTTGCTGCTTGGATCCCGATGCGGACTTGGCCGAGGGCAGAGTTGCTGATTCTGGCTCTGCGTCCTCCGGCAGACATGCTGTCTCTGATGTAGTTCATGTCACCACGCACCGGTCCTGCAAGGAAGCTGCTCGCAGGCATTGTCTGTGCTGGGTACCGGCCCCCTCGCCGCTGGCAGCCCCGGGGAGCCTGGAGCTGCAGTGAGCGTGGGATGTCAGTGGCTTTAGAGGCTGCCCAGGCACAGGGTCCTCCAGTTTATCTGTGACTGCTAGACTTCTTCCTAGTCAGAAATGCAGTGGATCTGTTACTGATGTGGCGGCAGAGGCTGTTTTCATCCTCCGTTGGTGTCCGTTGGTCACTGCTCCGCAGGAAGCCCGCACCGCCTGTGGAAAGCTGGCTTGGAGGCCCTGGAGCCTGGGCAGCTTGTACCCCTCACGGCTGAGCAGGTCAAGCACTGGGCTCGCCCGCTCGCACTGTCCAGGGCTTGCTGTGTCTGCCATGCAGAAGCACTCAGCTAAACAGGGCTGTTGGTGGGGAAACGGCTGCTTTGCTGTGTGACTGGCACCTGTCAGAGTCTGCACACTCATTTTCAGGCTTTACGCTGTGTATAACAGCAATTGCCATCATTCCTCAGCTCCGACGGCTCTGTGTGCCTGAAAATTCGGCTGCAGGCATTTGAGCTTAGGGCCACACAGGCCTGGCTCAGTGCTGACGGCTGCGGATGTGGAGGCAGAGTCTTGCTCGGCCTCGGCCTGTGGAGCTGCTGTCTGCTCATGTCCAGCCCAGGGTGCCGCTGCCTGAAGGGCGGATCCCCCTGCTCCAGTGACATTAGAGTTCGCTGACTCTGGTCAGTGCCAACTGGTCCCCTTGTGAGAATCCTCTGCATTGAGAACAGAACACAGCAAAAACGACCAGTGAGAAAAGTAGTGTTTGTTTGCTCTTTAGACAGTGGCGCAGCACCCTGGTCCGTGGAGTGTCAGGGTGTCTGCGCAGTGTGGAGGCTCTGGCCCTTAGTCCTTGCTCTCTTTATGTGAAACTGATGTTCTGTGGAGAGGCTGGAAAATGAAGTGTTGGTAATGTACCCTTTTCTGGATTTAAGGAAACAGTTCTTGTGCTTGAAGACAGAAGGTAGAGTACCTGACAGATTCACTTGCTGTGGTTGCAGGACAGCATACAGTTCAAAGATCTTGGAGTCAGGTTGGAGCGAATTAAATGTTCCCACAGCCTGAACCACTTGTGGTGGGACACGCACAACTGTTGTGTTGGCCAGCTTGAATCACCGGTGGTACAATCAGATCTGATCACTTTGATCAGTCTTTATACTAACAAAATTCATAAAAAGCTGCCCAGTGGGCCATATGTACCACCAGTGGTTCAAGCTGCCCAGCAGTGGAACATGTGCCATGGCCCTTCATGAGCGTGTTAAGCAGAGCGCTCCCCCGCCCAGGGCAGGTGCACAGGCAGCGCCCTGACTGAGGCGAAGAGCAGTGTGGCCATTTGTGATATGTTTTGTTTGGTTGGTTAGTTGTTTTTTTTATGGTACTGGGGATTGAGCCCAGGGCCTTCCCACTGAGCTACTCTCCAGGTCTTTGTTATTTTGAGGCTGAGTCTTAAGCCCTAAGTCACTCAGGCTGAGCTCAAACTTGCAATCCTCTTGCCTTATGAAATCAAAGGTTATTAAACATTATTCCTTATTAAAAATTCTGTTCAAGAGTATTCTTCACAGTTTTATTGAATCTTAAAATTTCAGTGCCTTAGAGATGATTTTATAGTACTGTTTCTTCATAGACTATGTTTATGAAAAGCAGATAACTTGTAAAATATAATTACTGTGTGTTTTATTGATAAACCCATTTATGGGCACTGGTGTCCCTATTAATCCTCTGTGTTAGAAATTAAAAAATATACACCAGACATAATGCTGCAAAAATAAACGTAAAATTAAAATAGGTGTTTCTTGCCCACAGACGATGAAGATGGTATGGACTGCATGGACAATGAGAGGCGGCCGCATTTCCCTCAGTTTTCCTATTCTGCAAGTGGACGAGAATAAGCCTCTTTCATTCTGCTACTTCACTGTCATCTTAGATTTATTACTGACAATGATTCCTGGACATCACCACCAGTCCTCGCTCTTACAGACAGCAGGGCACCTTCCGACATCCCAGACCAGCCAAGGGTCTCCACCCCTCGCCACCTTTCACCCACATGAGAACACACACGTACACAAACACACTCCCATTTTTGTTTTTTTGCATGAAATTGTATCTCAGTCTAAGGTCTCATGCTGTTGCTGCTACTGTCTTACTATATAGCAACTTTAAGGAGTAATTTTATAATCTGTGGAAGTCATGAGCCCACCATTGTTCATTTGTGCACAAATTGTCATCTTGATCTTTTAGTGTTTTTTTTTTTTTTTTCCCTAACAGTGAAAGGCTAAATGAGATACACTGATTCTAGGTACATTTTTTAACTTTCTAGAAGATAAATCAAAAACTAATTAGACTAAGAAGATTTAGTTTCTATTTCCAAACAAGCAATTGTGGGAGGGTGGTGATGTGCATATGCACAAGTTTAGTAAAGCAGATCTGATCAGTGCATAAAGTAAGTGTATGTCACTAAGATTTAGCTGGAATTCATTAGGAAGCATTTGAGAGGACTTATCAACTGTTAAGATACACATACATGTTTTTAATTCCTGTTGGATACTACGGAGGAAGCCCAGTATCACGTGTGGACATCTGGATCTCACGGGCAATCATGGGCAAGTGGACATTGTTCTACCAAGAAACGAAGGCACATACACAGAGCGAAAGTCACATGTAGGGTCTTAGCATACACTCTGGCCAGAGAGCATTTTTCCCTGTGCTTGGCAACCTTTTCCCATCTTGATATTTATCACCTCTGATGGCTGAAGAATGTAGACAGGTATAACGATCCTGCTTTCACCAAAATTGTACACCAAGGTAAACCAACAGGTGTTTGCCTTATTAGTTTTGATTTTTTACTTTTTCAGTTCTAGGTGATTAGCTTTTTCTCAGATGTTAAAACTTTGAATGTCCTTTTTTGATTTTGTTTGTATTGCAGTAGTATTTATTTTTTAGTGATGAGAATTGTATGTCATGTTAGCAAATGCAGCTCCAACTTACATGAAATAGACTTACTGCAGTTTCTGTTGACCCATGTGCAAGGAATGTACACGCAGATGAGAATCATGCACTTTTTCTCCTATGTAAAGAATTTAGGTAAGGCTCTGAAATTGTACTGATTGATTAGAATTTGGCTTTGGGAGAAGAGTTGCTGTCGTTTAACCCCTTGATTCTGCAAATGAGAGAATCAACTATTCATGCCAAGGGGTTAATGAAACAAATAGCTGTTGCTCTTTGTTCACTCGAGAATTAAAACTATTAGGATGACCTGACAACAACATAATGAAGAAAATCGAGACCTGAATGATGTTAAGAAATGAACTTTACTTGGCAAAATGAACACATTGCGAGCATTTGTGAAGCAGTCAGTAAAAGATAAAAGCCTGGTGTGTTTATTCTGATCAAGGTACATTTATCACTGAATTAAGCCATCAGGGAAAACAAAACAGAAAGAACACCTCTAGCTTTTCTTTTTTTGTACATACTCATGTCTCCAAATCCCAACATTTCTCACTGAGAGGGGACATGGATGCAAACCTCATCTTTCTCCTTCATTAATGATGATCTTCAGATTAAACCCTTTGGTGCTAGGAGCTGACATTTTCCAAAGCAGCCTATGAAGTCCAAGGGGCAGGAGCCCCTGCCTGTGGCAAGCCGGAGGGCGCGAGCCCCCTGGGATGATCATGGAGATTTATTCTAGTTAAACTCTGACAGCTCCCAAACAGAAGACTACATCGAGACATAGTATTATGATTGCTTTGTATGAGAGAGCAAGTGACTTTCTAGTAGGGTGAATCATATCCATCTGCAGATGTCTTAGCCTGTATGACGCTGGAAGTGTGGATTTACAGCTCTGAGACCACTGCTGGCAGTGGGTGGGCCGCTGGGACTGATGGGGAGGGGGGTGTTAAGGGCATTTTATTAAGGCAGCTAAGGCATATTCAGACATAGATTTTATCCTAATTTTTCATATTTCTACCTGAGTGACTTTCATCCTTAGTATTGAGAAGTTACAGTAAATGGTAGTTCATTCTTACATCTATAGATTAACTTTTTTTCACTTGGAATTATGTTGAATGTTTCACAGTGACAAGAAAGTAGACTAGAAGGTGTGTCCTTTAAGTTGTCTTGCATCCATTTTCTGAGAAAGAAACAGGTGAGAGGAAGAGAAGAAAGCTGGGAGTGGCTGATGTTCAGAGCATTTGTTCCTTTAGAGGGAAAGCGTGACACTGTACAGGGAGCACATAGCTTTTTGTTGATTTGGTTCCCCTCCCCGCCAAAACCTTAAGGTAATTTCCATAACCTTGGCCAAGGATACTTTGCGAAGATTAATGATGGGCACTGATGGTGCCCCGGGCTGCCCACTCCTCACAGGTACCCCCAGTCCCCAGCCACGCAGGGCTCAGTCATCCCCTCCGAGGCTGTCCGTGTCACAGAAAGTGTGTTCTTGGCTTTGATTTTGAGACTCCCTTCCTTTCACTCCCAGACCCCAGTCATCTGGCATGGAGGCAGGAGAGAGCACAGAACGATGTGCAGAGGGAAATTGTGGAACTTCCCTAAGTTGCCCATAGCTGTAGTTTTGGATTCTGGCAGGTTAAACAGCTGGAAACCTGGAATCGTCCTATACAAATCCCAGTCCAACTTTGCAGACTCCAGCTTGTACTGTCATGAAGTCTGACCTCTTGTCCCAAGGCAGCCATCTTGGAGGAAATTGGCCACTTGCGCTTGGATTGTTGGCAAGGGTTGCTCACAGCTTTGCTTTCTACACTAATTACATAGCATTATTCCAGTATGTTTTCCATTTCCCACGCCTGATTTTCGGCTTCTCAAAGCTGACTGTTCTTGCGGGGCCACTTGCTTCTTCTAGAGTACAAAAGTAAGGGCCTCCCTTACTAACTGCAGGGTCTATATACTACACCTCAGTGTACACACTTGCTGCTACCGTTTGTACTGTCTACAGTAGAACTTCCTTATCTTGCTCCTGGTAGTGCATTACAGGCAAGCATGAAATGTAAAGTATTTATTTAAATAAAAAGAAAACCTCTAAATTGGTAATTGAATTACCTCCCTGTAGCTTTATAGTTTGTGACATTTCTTGACCTTGCTAGTTCTTTCATTAGATCCCTGAAAGATGTGGTCATCTGGGTAAGGATTTTAAGCAGATGCAACTATGAACCCAAGAAACTGTATTACTGTTACTGTTGGTCATACTAAAACTGTTTCTTTCCTTAAGTATATGACCCACAAGGATGTGAAATAACTACAAGAAACTGTTTTTGTACACTGTACATCCTTAGTATTTTTACACGTATATGATAGGGATGCACATTATTTTCCTTCGTACAGACAGCTTAAATAAAGCACTATGTCAATCTGCTACTTCTCTGTTTGTTGTTGTTGGATGTGGTTCTGTAATCTCAGAAAATTAAATGCTGTTTTTTTTCTGGAAGAAAAGATTTTTAACAGCCCCACTTGGTATTGACCTATCCAGAGTAAGATATGATAGCCAATATGTAAATTATTCTTAGCTCAAAAAACACATGGGATTATTTTTCTTCAGTAAAATGGCAATAGTGCAGTTATACGAACTCTGATGAAGGGCTGCTTCCAAAGGGGAGACACTAGGCGCTCAGCCCTGGGATTAAGACAGATCCGCTATGAAGCCAGGGGCGGAGTAGGTCTCAGACCCCGGGGATTGGTTCAGACCCCAGTCATCTTCACAGCAAATGGCTTGGAACTGTTGAGTGTAGCTCACCATTGATGTCTTCCTGATACGTTTGGTTCTGCATACTTCCTTTGTGAGAGTATTTTTAATACTTCATGGCAGTTAATGAATTTAGGGGTGATAGATGGGTAGGGTGGCTGGACTGTAGTCTGGTTTGTGTTCACTCATTCCGGATGGGGCCTTTTTCTGATTTTACCTCATAAAGCTACTGTTGTAGAACTTGGCTTTGCTTCTGTGACTGGGCCAGAGAGCGAATGGCTTTGGGACCAGAGTCAGCCAGGCGTGTGTGTCATACAGCCAAATGTGGGGGTGTTTTTACACGTGCTGTTCTCTCAATACCACTGGGGTTGAAGATCCAGGAGGCTGGAATAAAGTGACCTCTCTAATTCTTCAAAGGTGCTATTTTTAGAATATTGTATCATGTATTCACAGTGTACCTAAAACAGAATTCAGGACAGCTAAAATATCTCGTGTGACAGCCTTCATGTCTGGCACATTCGATGAAGCCGAGAACTTCTGTGTGGAAGTACTGCTGTCTAGGCTGAGCGCTCACCATGCTGCGCACGCGGACGGCCTCCGTGTGTGGGTCAGGCCACCGCCTCTGAGCCTCTCATGCGTCAGCCTTCGAGGCGAGGCGAGGCCCTGGGACAGCACGATGCCAGTGGGAGAGGGCCGGGCCAAGGGCTTGCCCCAGCTGCAGCCGCACCTTTGGTGTTTCATTGTCTTCAGATACAACAATTTTCAGTGTCCATTTTTATTCCTTTAAAGCATTTGAGGGCTTGACTGTGTATAGTGGAAATACTATTTTAGACTAAAATGATCTGTGTACAGATATTTGATATACGCTATAAGTAAATTTTCTAATTTCACTGAGTACATTTGTAGGCTCAAGTACTGCTGTGGGGGAAAAGTACTGACACCACTGAGCCAAAGATGCTTTTTGTCTGTTTTTTTTGTTGTTCATATGGCAAGAACTGCGCTTCCTGGTGTCTCCTGAGTGCGCGCACAGAGTAGGACGACAAGTAGTGGGTGCGGATTAGAACGAAGGTGAAGGGTGCTGGTAGGTCACAGGAAGGGAAAGGAAAATGAATGGCAGGAAGAAAGTTTGGTCCTTAATTACATGCTTTGGCCTATTTAAAATATGTGCCTTTTTAGTGTGTTTTGTTCATCACTTCTACAAGAAGGAAATACTGCAATTCAAGTCCTTAAAAAGTTCATTTATTAAAACTCCTGTGTGTAATTGAGCATAAAAATGAGCATATCTCAAAACTGACTTAAAGCCATTTCTGAGAACATCCGCCAGGAGCTGTCCTCATCCGGGTCAGACTTCAGCTCTAGCGTCCGCAGTGCAGGGGGAGAGACGGTGGCTTGAGGACCGGCCCCGTGCAGTCCGAGGTGGTGTCGCCCTGGGAAGGTTGTGTTGTGGCATATTAAGTACAAATCAGATGAATGTAAATATCTCTTTGTAAATCATTTATTTCACTGTTTCATCCAGGTCAGCAATCAGATTGTGGCATGCTGGGTAACTGGAAAAAAAATGATAATAAAAAGTAAGTTTAAATAGATCATGTTCTTCAATGTGATTTTTCTTCTCATTTGTTGGTTTAGTCACCTTTTATTATTAAATCTGTGGTGAAAAAATTGGTTAAAAATATGGAAGATACATATTTGTGGTTGTAGGGAAGGCGCCACCGTGGCCACGGCCGAAAGCCCATGTTGCGTGTGAATGTCACCTGGGCTGTTTGGCTTTAAGGCTTTTAGCCTGAACGCAGGCCGTCCGCGGACTGGGTCCCTCTCAGTAAGATCATGTGATGGGAAGATGCGGCCAGGGCGCCGTCCCTGTCTCCAGGAGGAGAAGCTGGCTTGTGCTGGGATCTGTTCATACCGACTGGACATTTCACAGGTAAGGGGGGACACGGACGGGTGGCATGTAGGCTGAGGGCCTCTAAGAAACTTCTGGTGAGATGAGATGAGCCGAGCCGAAGCCACCAAATGTTTAGCTGCATGCCGTTTAGCAGTTTAGCCGCGTGCAGCGTAGAGGCGTTTCACACAGAGCCTCCCACCTGCTGGAAGAGGGCTCTGGCGTGCTGCAGCCTCCGTGTTTTCAGTAGACTAAGGGCGGCAGAACCAAGCTGTGCAAACTGGGGCCTGGGAAGAATCACACGCAGTGACTGCAGGGAGCCACCAGCTGCTCACCTCGGCCTGAGGCCCGCCCAGGGCAGCCTGAGGTCCATAGGAGGTCAGGGTGGGCTTTGTTTGCACTGCCGCAGGTAAATGGGAAGGCGGTGTCAGGCCACGCCCGGTCTGGTTGCCCTGTAGCTGGGACCTGTGCTCAGGAACGAGCAGTGGGCCTGGTGCTCCTGGCAGGTTCCCCTGAGCTAGAGTAAGCTGGGTTCTGTCCACCCGGTTTCTGCCAGGGTTATCTGTTAAGCATTTCCAAGCTGGGACAGTGTGAAACCAGAACTCTCACACGCGAAGTCTGAAAAGCAGTCGGTTGCCGTACTTTAGATGTGAGAGTGTATGAGAGACCAAGAGGGCGTTTTGGCAGCCATGTCTGATTAGAAGGGTTTCCGTCAGGGCAGCTGGGGCTCGGGCTCGGAGGCTGCCGCCGCGAGTCCACTGTGCCGCAGAGCCCGCGACGCGCTGCCAGCCGTCCGACCTTCAGTTGGGTTGAACTGACCCGGTGTGGTTCTGCCCAGCAGCAGCTGGACTGAGCCCCTCCTGCCCCACTTGGGGTACGGCAGGGGACCTGGTTCCCACCCTTGCGGAACCCAGGAGGACTCTGGGTAGCGGTAGCCCACCGTGGCCATATTTACAAAGAAATAGGAAGGGAGTTTGGATAGAAAACAACCACACACGTGATACAGAACGAAGGCAGACTGGAAATAAAAGCAAAATGTGTTGCAAAGTTTTTGTTTCTTGTTTTAATTTTTTAAAGCGAGCTCCAGGAAACTCGCATTGCTCATAATGAGTCTTCACGGAGCCCGTGGGCCCCAAGGCCATCCAGTCATTCATCGTGCGCGCGTCCCTTCGCTGCCGGCTCGCAGACAGCTCGGCTGAGATGGTCACCTCCGACTCGTGGGGTGGCACAGGCGTGAGGTCCCCGACAGGAGCCAACGGAAGTCAGCCGGGACTTTCCCCCTGGAGCCAGGCGGCTGCCCCTGCCTCACTGGTGTCCTATTTGATCTGGGTTTGGTGGGAAGCCTGCATTCGGCCTCATGGTCACCTTAGCGCACCTGCTGCTCGCATTCCCGGCCTATAAGCAGCTCTGGCCAGGATCTGCCCGAGAGTCCTTTGCCGTCTCGGCCGTGCTGGGCCGCCCTGGTTTTGCTGAAGCTTTCCTGGTGTGTTCTTGCGCCTCCCTTGCACCCTGCAGAGCAGCCAGGGACCCCGAGGCAGCGGGCGCCAGCAGGCTGCTGTAGCGCTGTCCTTTCTTAGGGCATCAGGATGTGTGGTCAGCCGGCCCCGCCCTCCACACCCCGCGACTACGCTCTCGCTGCCCAGAGAGAAGTGTGCGTGCGGCGTGGGCCTCCGGCCACCACTGTCCTGACTGTCCTTATGCCTTTCAGCTTGTCATCAGGCCCCTCTGCGGCCCTCCAGGGGGCCTGGTGCCCCCGGGTGCTGTGGCAGCTGCTCCCTGAAACTGCCCAGAGGACGGACACGCACCCTGCCTGCAGGCCACTGGCGCTCTCCGCTCACTTTGGTCTCACTTTAAAGCCTGAGCCTCGCCCCAAAACCTGCACTCCTGTGCCTGTGTCTGACGGCGGCTAAGTTTGGAGCTCAGTAGAGGAGCTGCTCTGCGTGAGCGGAACTGTTCCTCGGCAGCCTTGCGGTGGCGTCGCCGGCCCTCGCTGCTGCTGGGTTTCCAAGGGCTGAAGGCCGGGGATGTCGCAGGGCTGCGTGCCCTGCAGGCTCTGCCCGCCGTCTGTCCCTCGATTCCTCTTCCGCTTCCCTCTCTTAGCGGCTCTTAGCAGCCTCCGAAGGCAGCGTGCGATCTGACTGCGGCCAAGTCGGAAACTGCGCCTGTTCTTGCTGCCCTGGCCTAGGACGCTGCTAGCTACAGGCGGCTGCTCGCTGCCCCCGGGCGTTTCCAAGCTGGCCCGAGTTGGGCTCCGTGCAGCCTCGGCCCCCTCCTCTCCCTGCCCTCCTTACCTTCCATCCATCCTCGGCCCGCCACTCAAGAAGAATAGTGTTCCTGCCCCTGGCCTTCTCGGTCTCATTCGCTCCTCCGCAGGCCTCCCCCTCGCATCCGTACAAGGGGCCCGAGGTGGCTCCCCCGGGCCTGGCAGGCCCACCATGGCCTTGATCTTCCCGGCTGCCTCCTGACAGGACGCGGCGGCGCGCGGTGTGGGGTTGGGCCAGGATCAGCGATCTGGAAGCTAAAAGAATGGCCCGAGGGGGTGTGGAGCTGAGCTTTCACCCGGCAAGGTGACCACACCAGCTCAGGCTTGGTGCCGCGCCTGCCCTCCCTGGCTGGCGAGGGGACGGTGGGTGTGGGACTCTGCAGTCGCCGACCCCGGGGCGAGGACGTCCTTCCCGGTGCGGGGCCGCACGTGGGCCACGTGGCCACAGAGCAGGTCCACAGCGGTCAGCTGGCCGCGCTGCCCGGGGGTCCCTGCGGCGTCCCCTCCCCGCACAGCTGTCCGTCGGGGCCTCGCGCTGCACCGGCCTTTCCGGGGTGTGCTGGTGCCGCTGCGGGGCCGGGCC